TTTTATTGTTTGTATTTCTTTGCAGGCGTTGATTCTGTAGGGCTTGAAATTATAAACAAAGTTGACATAACTCAATTTGCCAACTTTGAAATGGTTATGCGTATCTCATCTAACGTTCGAAGTAAAGATGAATTTTATACTGACCTTAATGGACTACAGGTCAGTTTTATAAACATCTTTTCATAAAATTTTAAATAGCCACCCCTAGCACGAAATTCTAACAATCCATTTTTTCAGATACTGAAACGTAAACGTTTACCTCAGCTACCACTACAAGGAAATTACTATCCACTTCCAAGCCAAATTTTTATCCAAGATGATGAAGTTCGCCTGACTCTCTTGTCAGCTCAGCCTTTAGGTGCTGCATCTTTAAAAGAAGGACAAATTGAGGTACAGTATTCACATCCTTTATCTGCATGTTCTTATGTTATGTGTCAAGCAAAAAGTTCTGGGATTTATGATGCAATACCATTTCGTGTACAGGTCATGCAAGACAGGAAGCTCATGCAGGATGATAATAGAGGACTTGGTCAAGGTGTGGAGGATAATCGAGTGACAAGGACAACTTTTAGACTTCTTATAGAAGCTGTAGAATCTGGCTGTCAGGTCAACAACGCAGCAATACCTACACCATCTCTAACAGCCCACCTAACTCTTAATTCTATGTTGCACCCTATCCACAAACTGACATGGCGTGAAAATACTTCCCCTTCTTTGAGCCTGACATATTCAACTGTAAATCAGGCAAGGGCACCTGATCTTGATATTCATATTGTTTCACTGCGTTCTATAACCACTCTTCCAAGTCCTATGGCTCCAAATGTGGTTCTTAACAAAACTGAAGCTGTGACTGGAGGATTAGTATTACATAGGCATCTGTTTGATCGTTGCTTCCCCTTGCCTGCAAATTTCCATGATCCAAAGGTCTGCCAACCAGGAGACTCATGTGGTCGTGTAAGTATTGTGCTTTTCTTTTAATTCTTAACAATGTAATGTGTCACAATTATGATCTTTAATTTGTTTTCATTTTTCCCCCTTTAGTTCCTCCTTAGTGACCTCTTCCCTAATCATTTTGGACGATGGATTCAGCCAGCATCGCTGTCATTCATTCATACTGGTCCTTCACAAGAGCGCAATCAACCTCAGCCTCTCTGTGCTATGGACATGCGAGCTTTCCTTCTATCCAAATGACCAACTTCATAGGTTAGTAATTTTTTTGCTGTTGATTTAGTATATAGTATATCTTTGGAGTACCTGGTCCATGGTCGATTTACATTCTGAGATTCAAAAGTAATCTCAACCCCATTAAGTTAATGGTTCGCACTTCACAATAAGCATATACTCCATTACTTTATAAATTGTAGAGTTCTAAGAATAGGCAACTTAGTTAAAAGATTTATTTCTATGATTGTAAAGTAACAACAACAGTTCCTTCTAGTTACTCAGACCAGAGTTATCACAATGGAATTGTATTCTATCGCTGCTAAGGTGGGGTCACTTTGAAGCAGAATATCACTCTGTTAACCATGTTACACATTTTCCCTAGTCACCTTGAGCACACAGTTGTATGATTGCAGTTAGCACCATCCCACTGTTTGCCAAGTTATCAATTGTCTTTGTCTTCCTAAGGAGATCTCCTCTAGGTTTTTTTAAATGTTAATTAACTCAGCATACAAAGTAACATAACAAAAACAGACAAGTATTGTAGGTAACCCAAGGTATTTCTTTTTTATATCTCTCTCTATTTTTTTTCTGTATTTTTTTAAGTTTGAACAAATGGAATGTAGATCTTTAGACTGTAGGCTGGAACCTAACTTAATTTATTGAACTCACCTGAGAGGGAATTGAATATATCTATCCATCCATCACATATAGGTACTCAGGACTGTCAATAAACTGTTGTGTGTTAACTTTTATTTATTCTTGACTGTTTGTCTGTGATGTATAGCTTATAGGTGTTTCTAGAAAAAAATTGTTGATAAAGAAATATAAATTGATATTTTTAGGAATACCAGTTTGTGGTAAAATAACACTTTCTTAATGGTCATTTTTGTAGTTCAGTCAAAAGAGTATGGATCTGGGAATGAAAATACTCATCTTTCTTGCATTAATCAGCAGACTGCTTTCATGATCTGATTTTAATAAGATACTTTTAAATTTAATTTCTTCTACTCTAAAATGTCTTTTGAAAACCTTCTTAGGGTCTAGTGTACAATATTTTTTTGTGTAGTAAAATAAGCCTGATTTTTTTCCTTGACAGTGAAGTTCTGTTAAATAATAATGTTTTTGTGATAATCAATATGTTGTCATTGTCATGCTTAGATCTGATGATTCTAATGAACTGTGTGATCTGTCTTATCCTTCTAGCAACCTTTTTTTTCCCTTGCTTTAATTGGCTGTGTCACATATGTTCATACCAAAACAAACCTTTTCTGTAAATAGTGTAATCAAGTTACGGTATGTACATTTGCTACAAGAATGTTTTAGAAGAGGAATCTCTTCCTTTTTTTCTACACCTCCCTAAACCAACATCTCTTTACTGAAATATGAATCTCATTGTTTTAGTAAAATAAAGACGTTTCGTTTGCGAGTTAACTTATCTAATTTTTGTTTTTTTTTATTCCTGCCGTCTCAAACCACGATTTGCTTTGGTTTCCCATTTTTGGCGGCTGCCTGCTGCAACACCACACCCTTCCCCGGCCAGTTCAAGGGTCGTTGGCCCGTTCCCTGGCCCACGTACAGACGGGCCATTTTTACGATGCGCCGCGCCTCGGTGCAGTAAAACGAACTGCACTCAGATGCAATACCTCTGTCCGCCAGTCCGACCGGGACCGGGGGGCACCGTGGGGCACCGGGGGCCTCGCCCACGCCAACGTAGCGGGGCATACGGCGGCGCGCATGGGGCCGGTCGGACCCCGCCGACCCACAGGCTGCCGCTGCGTGCGAGCTAGAGCGAGTGGCATATCCGTTTATATTGCTATCGAACGAACTCTTGAGAGCCATAAACACAACGCCCTGTCTGTGAGGGTTGTAGGGTGAAGGCGGTGCGGGGAACGCAAGGGAAGTCCACCCTGTCCACGTCGGCGTCAGCATTGAGCGACCGTTTTCCGCGCATCCGAAGGGGACAAAAGCCACGAATATGGTACCTCTTACAGTGGACGCCGCAGAGAGGTGGGTTGCAAAATCAATGGTTCGCTGCGTTCATCATGTAAGCCCGCTGAACTTTTCCGCTCTTGTAGCGTTGCGAGCCCGAGTAGGATGGGATGGGGCGCGGCTGGCCGGCCGGCCGGTGGTGGCGGCGGGGCTGATGCCATCTCCGAGTCTGCTTCTGCCCAGCTCTGCCGCGGGGAGGCGAGGCGCGAGCGAGAAGGGAGTGGGCGACAGAAACAAAGCGCGAGGGGAACACTGAAGAACAGCTCCCCGTCGTCGGCCCTTGCTCAATTTAGAGGGGCCGGGCCGGTTCGGTTGGTCGGACAAGTCCCTCCCGAATTGGCGTCGCCTCTTCTGCTCCGAACTCGAGTGGGCTGATCGCACTTCGGCAAAGACCGGCGTCTCGTCTGCAGAGATTGGCGGCACGCACGACGCACAGCACACCCGGCGAGAGGACCGGCCGCCGCCCCCGACCTGCCCGGCCCGGCCATTCCTCACGGACCCGCGGCGGCGGCACTCCCCGTTCTTTTTATTGCGGGAGCGACGCTTCGGAGAGACAGCGCGACCGCTGCCCGAGGCGGTAATGCGAAATTGAATGATTTAACTCACGGCGACGTCGGTTTGGCGCGAGGTCTCTCCCGCGGCGCCGGCGGCTAGCCGCGCGCTGCGTCCGGCGCCCTATGGGTAGGCAGCCCAACGTACTCGAGCGGCGAAAGGGCTCGGCCTGCTGAGGCTCGGAGCGGAGCGACGGGCGGGGTTGTCCTTTTGGAACACCAACGTGCGATCATGCAGTTACATGAAGGCGCCGGCTGCGATATACCGACCCGATGAACTGGATTCCGCAAATTTGCCAATTTGTCATTCCCTTCTCTCGGCTGGTGCGTGTGCCGACGTTCTGTCCTGCATCGGGGTCCCCGCGGTGGTTGTTTGCTCTCCTGTTTTTCTTGCTGCTGCTCTCGCTTTACCGGTGAAATACCAATTCTGTCCAACGACACTCCAAGGGGCATAATCGTGAATCGCTATGAGTAGTCTGCGCAGAGGCGACATGGCCTCTCGACGAGGAATGGTCCCTGCAGGCCTGCCGTCATACGTGAAGTGACAATGGGAGTTTTGCCCGCCGCCCGCCTCCGCCCGCCATCCTCCCCCTTCTTTGCCCGCGCTCACATTCCAGTAGTCCAGTCGATATCCAGTCCGCCCCTGCAGTTCCCCCCTCCCCAGCCCCCCGCTGCTGGCCTCCAGAGGACTCACCTACGCGGTCCGCGCTCGCCGAGGTCAGTCCCCGGCCGGGCCGCTCCGCCCCTGCGCCGCTCCGTACGCGTTGTGGCTCTGCTCGGCCCGCACCAAAACCGGAAAACGGCCAAACCAACAAACACACCCGGGCAGGGTCAAAACGCGTCGGGATTGGATCGGAGGGGTGGGGTGGGGCGAGGGGGAGGGCGGCGAGTGCATCGGAACGCAACCCACGCGAGTTTACTCTCTGTGGACTCCAATTCGCACCTCTATGGGTATCATAAAGGGAGCGCGTGGGCGGATG